TTAATATTTGAGTTTCAATCTTCATCCTAAATTTGTTGCACTAAAAAAAAGAAAAAAAAAACTTTTTATGAGACTAGTTTTTGAAAATGAGAGATTTTTTATGAGACTTAGACCAAAAAATTTAGTGATAAAGATTAAAATTTGGAACTCAAATAATACAATTCATGTCTTATCTACCTGTTTTAGGACAGTTGGTGAAAATGAAAGGATTTAATATTTATACTTAACAACCAAATACCAATTTGGGATACTGTACTTTGATAAAACGCTCATATAAGCATAGCTCAAATGGTTAAATATTAGTGTATTTCCAACGTTTTTTTATTTGTCATCTACTCTCTAAAAACATTTTTTTTCCGATTGTAGCACAATTTTATAAATTATTTTTTATATACATATCGAAATTGCTCTAAGATTCGAGAAATGTTATTAGAGAGTAATAAAAAGCAATACAAAGACAAAAGTACCCAACAAATTTGGTTTTCTAAATTCTTTTAAAAAAGTATTATTAAAGAGTAAATTGAACATTAGTCATCTGATAAAAATATTAGTTAAAAATTTTCACCTCTGATTTGAATTATAATATTCTAGATTTTTTAGTTTTTAAATTTGAATTAGAATTATGGAAAATACTTTATGATGGTAGCCTGCAAAATAAATAAAATATTAACAAAAAAATTTTGCATAGGGAAAAAAAACCCCAAATAATTCTCTAGCTTGAAGATTTCCCTTCACACATGAGAACAAGTTCTCTTTTGATATGACATCTCACTACCAATTCCTTTGAAAAGAATAATTCATATAACACCTCTCAATTGCCAATATTTAGAGCATCTTTCTTTCTTTTATTGTTGGATTTGAGTTTTATTTTTCTTTTTTCTAAATATTGATTGGACATTGATTAGGGTCAGTTTTTGCCAAGTGACCTTAGAAAACAAAAAATTAAACCAATCAAAATCAACTAAATAAAAATAAAAGATCATAATTAAACCAATAGCATAGCGTAACAATGCATCTACTCATTCCCTTAAAAGCAAAAGTTCAAATTCTAAGATACATGATTAGATCGATGAACCTCCGACCTCAAGTAAATATCAGAGCTCATTTTGGTGACGAATCAAATGTTTGAACTCCATCATAATAGGATATTTGATTTAAAATAAGTGTGTAAATAGCGATAGTTGCAATTTTCGTTTATACACAACAAAAAGAGGATAGATTTGAAATTTTTAAAAGAGAGAAAAATGGAAAATTATCAACCAGGTCCAACCAGGCCCACTTTATTTTCTGTCACTGAGCCCATTAGGCCCAAATTTAAGCACCATAGATTTGGGCTCAACCCGTAGTGAAAAGTGCAAATTTCACCCATTTACTTAGATTACTATTTTAGAGAAATGATGGCAATTTGATGTATGGAGTATGGTCATATATTTTTTAAATATCAAACAAAGTCATTTAAAATATTTCGCTAAAAAAAAAAGTCATTTAAAATATTTAAATTATTTATTGTATAATTCCTTTTTTGTAATAGCTTTTTAATTTCAAGCCTAAATTATGTTTAGAACATTTTAATAATAACAACATATCTTATCAAACTTTTACCCAAAACCGAATGCCAATTCTTTCCATATTTAATCTATATATATGCACCAAAAATTATTTTCCAACTCTTCTCCAAAAAATTTGTCCTGACCTTTATTTTTTTTTTTTGAAGAACTATTTTGCGTGACCATTGATAATTATTTAACGAGACTTTGCATCAATTGCATTCTCTCCAACTTCTGTACTAGAAGGGTGAAATCCGACCATAAATGAACATTAAGAAAAAGAAAACTCAAATCAAAAGTTTCAGCCTAACTAAGGAGAAGTTTCAATAATCCAACTCTAAAATCTAGCATTCACAAAAGTAGAATGGACTCGCTCAATCGCAAAATCATTCACATCCAACCTAGATCCAACTACTAAAAGCATTCATTTTCTCATTTATTTAAGTTCAAAGTTTGATACGATGCAAAATCAAATTGGACCAAAATTGACCCACCAATTAAATACAAAGTTATAAAGCCAACTTCTTTGCCATACGTTTATCAATACCATTTTCTTTCTAAAAAGCATACATTTTCTTTATGCATAAAGGGAAAACTCCCCAAAAAGCAGGTGTGTTATGTTAGAACAACATAGTGGTTATCTATTTTATGACAAGACATGATTTGATGTTGTTTTGGAGTGTTATATATAAAAATTAAAAAATAAAAAAAGAAAAAAGTAGTGGGGATGATTTGGAAGAAGTTCTTGTGGCTGAATTTTGAAATGGGTTCACTACTCCTCTGTCTTTAGTTCTAAAGCTTGTCTGTCTACACTAGTTGTGAAGATGACTAATGAAATAAATAAATAGATACATATATATGTATGTCCCTCTCAAGCACCAAATGCCCAAAACTCCCAACCAAATTTAAAAGATATGCACAAAGTCATTTGTATGTGCTTTGTGTGAGACATCATGTGCTCTCTTCATTTCTTTCGCTATTTGTGGGAGCTCACCTATATTTTTCGATACTCAATTATTGAGCGAGGCTGGAACAGTGTTTAGTGTTCATAATTTGTAACTCGACAAGGTATCTGACAAGATTGGTAATCGACTGTTTTTAATTTCAAAATAGTTGAAGAATAGTTTTATCCACTGTTTGGTTTGTTTTTGCTTGACAGCTGTTAAGAGCAAGGCTGCGTAATTGGATAATCGGTAAAAAAATTGAGCCGTTGAAATCGTTATTCACAAACTCGTCAATTATTCTCAAAAGTAAAGTACCATTTGGAATATTAATCGCGAAAATATTGTTGGTAGCTGGTTATAAATATGTAAATTACTTTTTTATCTAACTTCAAATAGTCATTTGATTTTCGTGGCACGTGGACACCATATAATCTTGGAGCTAATAATTGATCTCATTTCAAAATTTCATTATGTTTATTAGTCAATTACATCATGAAGAAAAATTGTACTATTTTAGAAACTTTTGATCATCAAAATGGAAGAAACTCCACTCTTTCAAAGAAGAGGTTGAATGTTTCAATACTATAAATGAGTGAATAAAAATAGATATAGGTTTTTATTTAAATCAAGTACACAATTGTATACTAAAGTAAGCTCCCAGTTGTAATCTCTTCACATTTTTTTATATTATGTTTTGAAAATAAATCTCTACAATTAATAATTAGTTTGCAAAACTACAATTATTCAAAATTATTTAGATCCATTGATTTGATGTCTTAAATAATCAAGCTAGTTTATTGTCTATATATTTATGTTTTTTTAAGTACTTTTGAATCGTACTGATATTTTAAAAGTAAGGATAGATTTTATGAAAATTATTGTTTGTAATTTTTAAAATTTTGGGGCAATCTAAAAACTTCCTTTTTTTTTAGAAAAAACATCAATAATAAATTAAATAAATAATCAAATAATAAGTTTGGTACCAAAGTTTTTAATATTGTTTATATGTATAGTCCTTGTAATTTAAAAGTATTTTAATTAGATAGTAAGATTTTATTTTTTTTATCTTTTTAGTTTCTATACTATTCTAATATACTCTGGAATTTTCGAGTTTGTAGCTAATAAGTCTTCGTTGTTAATTCTATGAATTGTTGTTTAACATTTACACTATCTAAAGTAAATTGCCTAAAATGAGCCAACCATGAAATTCTTAAAATAATAAAGTTGCGTGTCATAAAATTATTAAACAATTAACAACAAAAATCTATTAAATACAAAGTTTAAATTTCAGTAACTCATTAAGAAAAACTTAAAAGCACGTGAACTTTATCTATCTAGTCCAAGAATCTATAATTGTTATTTTATAAGGTACAAATACTAAGCGTTTGTTATTACATTTTAATTTTTAGTAGTAATTAAATATTAGTTTTTTTATATAGTTTTAAGTTTAAAGATTTTTTTTATCAAATTAAGGCCAACGTGTATTTAAAGGAAGGTCGAAATTTTAATTACTTAATTTTGTATTATAACTCGTACCGATTACCTCTCCTACCATATTTACCATACATAACAATTTCTATACTTCTTTATTTTAATTAATATATATAAATATTCTTTTATTTCCGCTCTTTTAAGAGCAATGAATACATTAGAGGTGTCTTTTATTATTAAGCTTTAAGCTCAACCTCTCGTGACAGTGTGGCTTAAGTTACATAAAGTTTCGAATCGATTGTTTTACTAGAAAGAAAACATAGGATTAAAAAAAGAAAAAATACACACTACAGAGAAAAAATATTTTTAAATTAAGCACTTCCGGAAGAAAATTAATTAAATACTTCATTTGAAAGTACATTAAGTATTTTTTGTCTAATATTTTCAAAATTCCCAAATTACTTTTAGTAATTGAAAACTCTTTAAATTATTTTTAATTGGTTAAAAAACACTCTTTTATCTCTCTTTCAAAATTTTAACCAAACCCTACCAATTCTTTCAAAATAACATTTTTAGTTCTCTATAAATACTTTAAAAGATATGTCTAACACTTACTAAGTAGATATCTACCTACAAAAAATTTAGATACAAACTTATAATTTAAGCGGAGTTTTAAATCATCAGAACACTTGTAAAACTCACCAAAAAGAAAAACAAGTAAACATTTCCTCTTTTTTATTTAAAATTTAGCTTATAAACAATATTTACACTAGTATATGTATTTCTTTTTACTTTTTATCTGCTCTTTAAATCATTGCCACCCCTAAGCTTAACTACTCACATATGTGCCGCTCCATGATTTGTAAAGACTAGACATTCGAAAGATCCTTTTTTTTCCTCTTCTTCTTTTTTTTGGCTTCTCTCTCTCGAATTATTAGTGGGAGACTGTGGAAGAGAATAAGCGTTTTAGCAAAAAGATATCGCACTTATAGTTAAAGATCAAAACAACAACTTTCCATTTCTCTCTCTCTCTGTTTTATAGTGATTATTGTTAATGGGTTTGCAATTTCATTTGAATAATAATGGAATGGTCCAAAATTCAACCAAAATAATGGTTTTCCATTCTGATTCTGTAACTTTACACCATATCTTCCATCCCACCACAACCCCTTCTCTCTCTCTCTCTCTCCATTTATTTCCTCTGTCGAATCTTACCCACTCCATAACCAGTAAAGGCTATGGAAACCCACCTCCCTGCTCTCTGCTTCTTCCCTCTTCCACGCTCTGCTTCCCTGTGGCGCTCCCATAGCCTTCAACAATCCACAGATCAACCCCTAAAGTAAGGGGCACTCCACAATCTCTGAATCCCACTCAAGTATGTGAATCTCTCCTCCTTTTTCTTCTGTTTTTGCCCCCTTCAATGTTGCCCTTTTGCTTTCTTTGAGGTCTATTTTGTTAGTGATGAAGAAATGAAATCTCTGCTTTTCTGGGTAATCGGTGAATCGCTTTGGGCTTCTTTTTCTTCCCTGCATTAGGTTAATGATTGTGTGCTTTTGCTCTTTCACTGCTTCCATGGTGGTTGTGGTTGATGTTCTTGCTTTGTGCTTGCTCAGGCTTTTAGTAACCCTTGTTTTTGAAGCTTTAATTTGTTCAATTTTATGTTTAAATTGACAGAGGAATGGGTTGTACTGTATGGAGTATGAAAAGTAGGTTTCACAATCTAGGTTTGTGTAGTATTGATCAATTTGTAGATTGGGACAAACAAATAAATCTACCAATCTCACAAGTTTGGCTTCTTGATCTTTTAAGTTATTCAAACTTAATTTGTGAATCAAATACCTTTTGAATGGTAGGGGGTTTTCTATTACTATGTGTAGTTCTGTCTCCATAATTGCTTTTCTTTTTTAGTTCTTCGTTTGTTCAAACTCAGAGGTAAATGCATTTGAAAGACGGCAGTAAGGATTGAGACTTGTGGCTATCCATAATAGATAATTTTTTTGATAATACATTGAGTGAAATAAAGTTACCATCGTTCATGAACTTAAACTTTTAGGTTGAGTGGTCATTTTACGTCATATTAGAACATGAGCTTAAATTTTTAGGTTGAGTGGTTATTTTACTTCATATTAGACCATGAACTTAAACTTTTAGGTTGAGTGATAATTTTACGTCACATTAGACCATGGGCTTAAACTTTTAGGTTGAGTGGTCATTTTACGTCATATTAGACCACAAGATCATAACTCCAAACTCTTCAATTTTATTATCTATCCATCTCATGAGCTGACATGTTAAAAGGGAATATTGAGAATATATATTAAATGATTAAATTTAGGGGAAGATTCATTTTTTATCCTACACTCATGAAGTCAATTTTATACTTCAACTTTTAATTTCATCAAGTTGAGTTTAGACTGTGAATAAGTGGTAAAATTAATTCTCTCAGGTTAGCTACAGGTGTTCTTGTGACCAGATGAAGTTATTTTCTTGGGTATTAATTTATCTAGTTGTGTTATACTTCAACAGTTTTGTTGTGTTAGTATACCTTTTTACTTGTTTGATTTTGTGGCTACGTATGGGTATTTGTACAGTTGGGTTTCGAGTATTTATATGGTTTGCTTTTGAGTGTTTTGTTTATTAAATCTTATGTGTTATTTTGGTTCGTTCCTAAGTAGTTCTCTAATTTAGCTTTGAGCTGTTAATTTCACCGTTTATGTAAGTTTAAGGTTGAATTCGACGAAATTGTAAGTTTAAGATGAACGATGCTTTTGTCGGTTAAGTACAGAAGTAAAAACTAGAATTCTCTTAAATTTCTCATAGCTAATCAACGTAAACTTTTGGGTTTGCGGTGATTTAACGAATCTTTAACGATCATTTAGGTATATAGATAAATAAGAGTTTCTTGCTTCAAATATGGCAGATTTGAATGGCACCTTTTTGAACTTTCTTTTCCAATAGTATGGAATGCAGGTCAACAGCCTTATAGCTGGGAGCAACATTAACTTGTTTGATTGTTCTTAATTATCAACACAGAAGGAAAAGAAGGGCGCCATTGTTTTGGAAGCCTCTGGTTCTTAACTTTCTACACTGCCCATTCAACCATGGAAACTTTGAATTTCAACTTAGAAGCTGCAAAAGATTCAGAAGCCAGCAGCAGCCAAGAAGATAATCCTGATCACTCCAACACCGCCACTACCACCTCTTCTTCCTGCCCTCCAAGCTCAAGTAAAGCTGTCGTTGCTGATACGACGCCCATTTCGCTTGACTTGACACTTCGGTTTAACTCCACTGATGCCGAGTTGAATGGCGATATCGAGATCCATGGTGAAACAAGTAGTAACAAACCATCTTCTGCAACGATGCCAAGAGTTTTCTCTTGCAATTACTGTCGGCGCAAGTTCTACAGCTCGCAGGCGCTCGGTGGGCATCAAAACGCACACAAAAGAGAGAGGACGATGGCTAAACGTGTGACCCGGATGGGAATGTTCTTTGATCGGTACAGAAGTCTGGCTTCTCTGCCGCTGCATGGCTCAGCCCTTAGGTCCCTTGGCATTGAAGCTCATGGTGCATTCCACCAAGCAGTTCTAACTTCAGATCAGAGGCCTTACAATCCTGGTAGGAGCGTCGGAGCAAAATTTGAGCAGAGCTCGTTTGGATTCCCGACATTTGTCGAGGAGTACGATGATGATGTCGTGGGATTTTGGCCAGGAAGTTTCAAGCAGGTGGCTGCCAAAGTTGACAGCAGTTTAGGTCCCATGAAAACCACAACTCAAAGTTCAAATTCAGAGTTTGGAAAAACAATGCCTCCACCAAGAACAGAAGCATCATCACCTGATCTCACGTTGAAACTTTAGTAAGTAAATTTTCCTCTTTGATGCCTTCTCCTTGATGTATCAACTTTTGTAAAGTGGGATGTGTTTGCCATTGTCTGCCATTTTTTAGTGGCTCTAAGTTTGAATATTGAATAAATCTTCAATTTTTTTTTTTTGCCCATTACCTTCAATATCAAGTTTAACATAATTTTGATCCTTTGATTCCTTTTACTTTCCAGTTTTTGTCCATGAATTCAAAATGCTTCCGTTCTAATCTCTTTCATCATTTGGATGATTGAAATAATGCTTCTTCTGTCACATCACTCGATGTAACGTAAAGTTGGCGTTTCAACTGAATAATTTGTAAACAGAGATTCGATCATCCTGAGTGTGACAGTATTTGGTTGGTATGTTGATTTATGAGAGTGAACTTAAACTACTATTATGTGACATGAAAGTGACTGGTGAGTTGAGGAATTTGCTGAGGAAGAACAGTGACAACATATTCTTATTATCACTTATTTGCACTTAAAATGATATCAAACTGCTTCTATGCGCTGACTCGATAATCTCTTAAATCTATAGAACCTTAAGTTGGGTTTCACTATCAATTTGACTTTTTGGATTGTCGGATAAAGTTATTCTATATGATATGAATGTCGTTGGTAGGAATTAATACTAACATATAATATAATCCAGTTCATGAAGTTAAGTCGCTCAGAGTTATGAATCTAATTCGGATTTCTTTTTTGAGTTTGTCGAGGTAGAATACGAACCAGATTATCCTAACAGATGAGAGGGATGTTTTGATGAGATTTTTTTTTCTTTTTTTCTTCGATTCAACTAATCTTACATATTTTGTCAAACCGAACATAATTCAAGTAGTTAAGATACTTATTTCTGACTAAGAAGCCATGAGTTCGAACCCTCACCCCACGTGTTGTATCAAAAAAAAAACCCAATCTCACATATTTTAATGAGTTGAGATTTATATTAACTAATATTAAAAATGAAATTCCATTTTAAACGATAAGAATATTAAAAATGGAATTCCATTTACAGAGAATATTTATTGGAAATGGGGACATGTCGGCCGGGACATGAACGACAGGATGGCGGCCAATGAATTATATTGACGAAATTGCCCTTCCCACCACTCCACTAGATCTAAATACACGTGTCTTTTTTCCTCATCTATTTTTAAGTGAATTTCAAATTATAGTTTTAGTTCCTTTATTTTGACTTTTCGAATTAGTTCTATTTTTTGGTTTATAATTTAGGTGTTCCTTGGATTATTTTTTTCAATTTAATTTTCTACTTTTTAAAATAAAATTTTGGTTAAAATATATTTTACTAATTATTATTATTTTTTAAAAATGGCATGCATGATATAATTGGTACTATTTTTTCTTAATTTTTAAATCAAAACTAATTTGTCAAGTAAAGTTCAATAAAAGTTTTGAAATGCAAATTCCCACCCATTTAAACTAGAAAAAAAAAATATCATTCTACCACAATTCTTAAAATATTTCGAAATTTTGGAAGTCATCGGACAAGTCTTGAATTACATTATTATTATTATTATTGTAAAGCAACCTATCCACAAAATAAGCAAACAACCCTTTTCCAATCCAAATTCAAATGTGATTTAATCATACATTCATCAATATAGCTAAACTACAATATATATTCCTTTTATCTCAAAGATTGAACCATTATATTCCTAAAGATATAGAAAATGAATGGTTGCAAAATAAGTACGTGGTTTATCTATTATAGTTCAAGAATAGTAGTAAGATGGAGTTAGGAATATAATAAAAATAGGCTAATACAAATAAGGTTTAAATATTATTCTGTTCTATATAATTTTAGTATTTATTTTTTTGACGTCCTTTAAAAAAGATTCATTTTGGTTCTTATATTTTCTATTTGTTAACTGTTTTACTTTAAATATTTATAAAGAATTGATTTTTTAGTCCATTTATTTTATTATCGGTCTATTATTTTTGAAATCCAGCAATAATTTCTTATCGAAGAATATAGATTTTGCGGTAACATTTTACAAATAAAACTAAAATGAATACAGAATTAAAAAGAACATTTTAAACTGCAAAACTCCAAAACTAAATAGCATTTAACGTACAAATAACTGCGGTAGAAAGTTAATAAAGCTGATGACAGACAAGACAAGTTTTCTTCCATAAAAAACATGTGAAAAAGTAATCGGCAAGCGATTGAATGGAGAGATTTATTTATTATTTTTATTTTTTTCAAAACCGTGTTGACTCTCGTAGCAATCAAAATTCTCATTTTGGCATAGACTTTTTTTCCATTGAAACGTGTTGTTTTACAGATTACAAGTGGCAATCCGTGATTGGCTCTGTTTTCTTTTTCATTCTTTAATGTATATAAAGAAGAATCAATAATGGAGAGCATTTGAAGAAATAAAACGATGCTACTTTCTTCTTTGCCTTTTGTTTAATGGATATAATCATTTAATTAGGATATCAACGGACAATAAACGGATAATGTGAGCCCAAAGAACAAAAAGCAAAAAAACAATGTTAATGCCTCTCTCTTTTTATTATGTACCGCGATTTCTATACTACTCTCATCTCATTTATATTATGGTATGTGTAATCTTATTTTAGAAATAAAATAAAATGGACGCCACATAATTTTTTAAAATAAAAAGCTTACGTATTATTCTCTCCCTCATAAATTGCATTCTCTCTCGYCTGTTCTTATTTATATTTTCAATAAAATAAAGTGGACCCACATTTTTATTTGTAGATTTTTCTCCCTTACAAAATTATGGTTTTATTAAATATCTTTTTTTTTTNTTTTTTATCATGATGCTTACAAATAACAAATAAAATTTAATTATAAAATTTCATATAAAACAAAAAAAATATTTAATTATTTCAAAATAAAGTTACAAATAAAAAAGAATATATATAATGGGTAACAATTAAAATCTAATTATAATAACAATTAAATAGGACAAAATAATTTTTTTAACAATAAAATAACATATCAAAATGGTCAACCAATAAAATCAAATTATAATATCCATTAGACAATAAAAATATTTAATTATTTATTTTAAAATAAATTTCTAAATAAAAAGAAAATATCAATAACGAACAACTTTGAACTGCAAATATTCTTTAAACGAAAAAATAATTTAAATAAAAATGATAGAAGATGAAAAAAACGAACGGATTTAGTTAGAAAAGAGCAAAACCTATAGATGAACCGAGGTGTAGAGAGAAATGTGAAGTTATTGTAAAAATATTTAAATAAAAATGATAGATGATGAAGAAATGAAAGGAAAAAATAAAAGATAAATGACATTTTCTATAAATTATAAATAATAATAATGGAGATACAAGGTATCTTAAGAGAGGGAGAGTGTGTTACAAAAGGAGGAAGAATATTTTTTTTAGTACATGTGGGGTGAGGGATCGAACTTACAATCTCAATCTCTTTGAGATATATACAAATTTTCGTTTAGTTATGTTAACTTTGGCAGAAAGAATGTATTTTAAGAGAGAGAATGTAATTTTTTATTTTTGAGAATTTAGAGAGAATGTAATTTAGGAGGAGGAGAGAATGTAAGTTACGAGGGAGAGAGACATGAACTTTTTTCATTTTAAAATTATGTGAGATCCACTTTATTTTATTTCTAAAATAAGATTATATATGACATAATGTGGATGGGAGTTCATACTACGGTAGGACTAGAAATTTTTGCTTTATGTACTATTACTTATTACCACGTACGATGAACGTTGTACTTGTTTATTTAATTAAATTAGTATAAACTATATTTATGTTGACAATTAATTTTAGTTTTTTTTCAATAGAACAAATATAGGGATAGAGGATTGAACTTCTGATTTTTAAGAAAGAAGCATGCCTTAGACCGTATTATGTTTATGTTGGTGCAATWAATTTTAATTTATATGTTAAAAATCGTATCAAATATAAAATATGTATCACACCAATCATTAATTATTGTTTTATATCTTGTTAAAAATTAAATTAATTTATGTATTTCAAATCTGACCATGTTCTTTGATAATTTTTTTTACCATGCTTTATCATTCATTTCATCAAAATCTCCTTAATTAATTATACTTAAAAAAAACCTCCTTAAATATTATTAGTATATGTTTTAATTTTCTTATGCATTTTCTCTCTCTTGAAATGAATTGCTTTCCCCTGAAAGAAATTTCTGTGGAAATGAGGGGAAAGGTCAAATTTATAACGGAAAGAAAGGAAACAATTATGAAACTTTTTGCCTTTTAAACTTTTATATTCTATAAATAAATATAATTATCTAAAAAATATTTAATTATAAACTTAATTTATCTACATAGAAACAAAATATTTTACAATCTGGCTTTTCACATTTCGTTTATTTAATTTTTATAAATGCAGGTAAATTTCGTTATCTACTACATTTTTAACGAATGTTAAATAAGATTTTATTATTTAATGTATCAATAAAAAAAAGATAAGTATTTTTATATTTTCACTTTGAAAATGTAATTTTACTTAATTTGGGCCCTTGTTTTTTCGATTGTTTTGTTTGTTTATTAAAAATCCTAAAGATTTCAAGCTGAATTTTCTTTTTTTTCCCTTCTCTTTTTCTTTTTGAAAATAGAGAAAACAAAAAATTAGGAACAAAAGGAAATAATAATCAAGAAAATTATCAATTAGATTTTTTATTTTGATTTACGTGTTTGAGAAACTTGAATTTGTGCAGTATGAAATCAGAAGTTTACAAAGCAGGTATGTTGGATGTAGATTTCAGCGTCACATGATAGGTAACGAGCAGATGCAAAATGTGACATGGAACAACATAAAGAAATAAGCCAAGTATACACATCTCGACTCATTCCCTTACCGAGCCGATTATCTTCAGTGGTCGAACCAAACAAGCTTGCTCACGATTGCATTCTCATGCTATTGGCTGAGTTAATTAGCTTACCTCAACTCGGTCACACCTCCGACATACTCCACGACAACACGCTGCGTTTCACGGTAACCTTAAAGAGCCGTTAAAGCCTTGTCGGGAACTCTGTCGGGGGCTTCGCCTATAAATAGAATCATTTCGTTCATTTTGAGGTACGCGAACATTTCGATTCTCTCTTGATTCTAGTTCAGACTTTCACT